AAAAAAAAATAAAAATTAAAAAATTAAAAAAAAAACACATCTTAGTAAAACCAATACCTTCTCAGCTTCGCATCGAAGCTAAAATGGATCGAACAGTACCTGTTGAATGGAATAGGTTATGTAATAATTAAAATATTTAGAAGTTATTCGTAATATAATAGTATATAATATAAAATATCAAAACATATAATATAAGAGATGTACAACGGCAACGGGTCACTTTACTCGATAGACGGCGAAACTACGACTAAACTGTAAACATGTATACATGTTTACATAATAGGCATAATACATAATAGGCTGCATTGAGTAAAACAACATAATCATAAAAGGAATGTGTCCCTTTGACCTTGTACTATATTAACATAAGTAAAAATACATTAAACTATTATCTTAAATAATATTACTGTACCCAGTGTGTTGTTTAATAATATCAACAGTACCGTGTAATTTTTTATAAGTTCTAGGAAAGTTCAACGTTCAATAAATAATCGAGCAATTTTTTGTAAGTGCTGAGACCGTTCAATGTTCAAAACAATCGAACGGATTCACCAAAGTTCTTTCATTATAATGAAAGAATCGTTATAACGGTTATAGCCGTTCAAATAGTTTTATTCACTTATACTGTTATTAGACATATTATACCTTGATTAGTACGAACTTTTGGCGGAATAACCAGACGTGTCAGTAACCGTTGATCAACAGATTTAGTTCGCGCGATTTTTATTTGTTATTTAATTTTTACTGTAACATTTTTTCAAATCATCAACGATTGATTTACTGTTTTTACAAATTATTTTTTTGAAACATCTGCCATTTTCACAGCGACTAGATAACTTGTTAATACTGCTCTTTTTCCCTGTTCATTCTCACATATATATTTAACTGAAAAGTACAATAAAATGTAAGTACATTTAATTTAAATTTAGGAGTAAAATAATAAATAGTTATCTTAATTAATTTTAATTATAGCATATATTATTTTTTTAAAAGTTATTCATACATTTTAGTAACTACATTTATTGTAATTGTAATAGATACATGTGGTAAATTATATATTAAAAATTTCGCTTTTTGTATAATGATTAATTATAATTATAATACAAAATTATTTATTTTAATAAAGTACTATCATTAGTTATGTTGTTATTAAGTTTTTAACGGACACCTCAAGATTTTCCATGAGCTTAAAATGCTAACATTTTTAATCATA